GATGGTGCCTAAGAGCTGGCAGGGCGTGGCCATGGGCACACACGCAGGACACGGGCGGGTTAGAAAGATGCTGTGTGGGCTGGTGAGGCAAGCGTGGGCAGGTGAGTCCCAGGGGACGGCCAGCATCAGCGGTGGACGCAGTGAGCAGCATCATACAGACACAGTTGCCGTGCGCATCGCCGGATGGTGCCTAAGAGCTGGCAGGGCGTGGCCATGGGCACACATGGAGGACACGGCAGTTACGGGCGTTCATGGCTAACAGCCGCAGGTGCGTGGAAAGCAGGCGGTAGCTGTTACGGGCGGAGGCCGGGTGACATGCAGTGCTCGGACGTCTGCGGCCCCTGACACACACTCCTGCCTCCCTCCCCCCCGAGGCGGAGCCTGGCCTCCTCAGACGCCAGGGGACACAGGCCAGAGTGACCCCCGTCCACTTCCCTGCCAGAAACAGACGCCCAAAGTGCAGGCAGAAACCCGCTGGCAATTTTTTGCTTTTCCTTTGCATGACGGTTCTTTTGTCTCGGGGACACACGCCCAGCGAGCTCAGGGCTGACTCCTGGCTCTGTGCTCAGGGCTGACTCGCGGTTCTGTGCTCAGGGTTGACTCCTGGCTCTGGGCTCAGGACTGACTCCTGGCTCTGTGCTCAGGGCTGACTCGTGGTTCTGTGCTTAGGGTTGACTCCTGGCTCTGGGCTCAGGACTGATTCCTGGGTCTGTGCTCAGGGGTGACTCCCAGCTCTGTGCTCAGGCTCACTCCTGGCTCTGTGCTCAGATGAGTCTTGGTTCTGTGCTCAGGGGCTGACTGCTGGGTTGTATGCTCAGGGCTGACTCCCGGTTCTGTGCTCAGGGTTGACTCCTGGCTCTGTGCTCCGGGCTGATTCCCGGGTCTGTACTTAGGGCTGACCCCTGACTCTGTGCTTGGGGCTGACTCCGGGCTCTGTGCTTAGGGCTGACTCCCCGGTTCTGGGCTCAGGGTTGACTCCTGGCTCTGGGCTCAAGGTTGACTCCTGGCTCTGTGCTCAGGGCTAACTCGCGGTTCTGTGCTCAGGGTTGACTCCTGGCTCTGTGCTCAGAGATGAGTCTTGGTTCTGTGCTCAGGGCTGACTCCTGGTTCTGTGCTCAGGGTTGACTCCTGGCTCTGGGCTCAAGGTTGACTCCTGGCTCTGTGCTCCGGGCTGACTCCGGCTCTGAGCTCAGGACTGACTCCTGGCTCTGTGCTCAGGGCTGACTCCTGGGTTTGTGCTCAAGGCTGATTCCAGGCTCTGTGCTCAGAGATGACTCTTGGTTCTGTGCTCGGGGCTGAGTCTCGGCTAACTCCTGGCTCTGTGCTCAGGATAGACTCTCGGCTCTGTGCTCAGGGCTGACCCCTGACTCTGTGCTCAGGGCTGGACTCCCGGCTCTGTGCTAAGGGCTGACTCCCGGCTCTGTGCTCAAGGATCACTCCCGGCTCTGTGCTCAGGGCTGACTCCCGGCTCTGTGCTCGTGGCTGACTCCCGGCTCTGTGCTCAGGGCTCAAACCCCATGCAAACACAGTGCCCTGCCCCACTGCAATAATCTCTCTGCCCTGGATGTAGCTTTCAGGCTTGAGGTTGCAAACCAAGTTGCCACGGCGGAAACTCCAGAACAGAAGGCGACAAGACGTGGACCTTCCCGCGGGCAGCCTGACCTCGACCCCTCCCAGGCCTTCTTGCCCCTTTGGTGGGAGCGACCTGCGTCATGAGTGAAGACTCCGAAGGAACAAAAACTCGAGATGACGCAGGTCACCCGGGCTCAGGAGCACCCCAGGACACGCTGAGGCGGGTGACCTGTGACTGCCACACACCAGCTCACCTGGCCACGGTTTGCTGCCCACCCAGCGCTCACCCGGACCAACCAGCGATTCACCAACATTCACAGAGACTAAGAAGAATAATTACAGGAGACTCAGAGAGACCGTGTTCTCTCCTGCTGTCATCCTTGTCCCTTCTCTGCCCCAGCCCTGCCCCTTTCTAAATGATTTTTTTTTGCTTTTTGGGCCCCACCCGGCGATGCTCAGGGGTCCCTCCTGGCTCTGCGCTCAGGAATTCCTCCTGGCGGTGCTCGGGGGACCCTAGGGGATGCTGGGGATCGAACCCGGGTCGGCTGCGTGCCAGGCAGACGCCCTCCCCCGCTGGGCTATCACTCCAGCCTCTCTCTCTCCTTCCTTCCTTCCTTCCTTCCTTCCTTCCTTCTTCTCTCTTTCTCTGTTTCTTTTCTTTCTTTTTGGGGTTCCCACCTGGCGATGCTCAGGGGTCCCTCCCGGCTCTGCACTCAGGAATCCCTCCTGGCGGTGCTCGGGGGAGACCCTAGGGGATGCCGGGAATCGAACCCGGGTCGGCCGTGTGCCAGGCCAACGCCCTCCCTGCTGGGCTATCGCTCCAGCCTCTCTTCCTTCCTTCCCTCCCTCCCTCCCTCCTTCCTTCCTTCCCTCCCTCCCTGCTTCCTTCCTCCTTCCTTCCTTCCTTCCTTCCTTCCTTCCTTCCTTCCTTCCCTTCCTTCCCTCCTTCTCTCCCTCCCCTTTTCCCTCTCTCCCTCTCTCCCTCTCTCCCTCCCTCCCTCCCTCCCTCCCTCCCTCCCTTCCTTCCATTCCTTCCTTCCTTCCTTCCTTCCTTCCTTCCTTCCTCTTTCTCTCTTCCTTTCTTTTCTTTCTTTTTGGGTCCCACCCAGCGATGCTCAGGGGTTCCTCCTGGCTCTGCACTCAGGAATTACTCCTGGCGGTGCTCGGGGGACCCTAGGGGATGCTGGGAATTGAACCCGGGTCGGCTGCGTGCAAGAAAAACGCCCTCCCCACGGGGCTATCACTCCAGCCCCTCTCTCTTCCTTCCTTCCTTCCTTCCTTCCTTCCTTCCTTCCTTCCTTCCTTCCTGCCTTCCTGCCTTCCTTCCTTCCTTAGTCCCTCCCACCCTTCGTTCCTTCCATCCTTCTTCTCTCTTTCTCTGTTTCTTTTCTTTCTTTTTGGGGTTCCTCCCGGCTCTGCACTCAGGAATCCCTCCTGGTGGTGCCTTGGGGACCCTAGAGGATGCCGGGAATCGAACCCGGGTCGGCCGCATGCCAGGCCAATGCTATAATATATATATAGTGGGAGGCCCACTATCATACCCCTCTGCCCCCTCTAAACGACTGTCAATAAAAGTGATCCTAGGGGCACTAGTAAGGAAACAAATTCGTCCTCTACATAAACTCTGGCACCCTCTTCCTGACAGTCATAAGTGCCAGGGTCTGACCCCAAAGTCGGGAGAGTTCCCTGGGCCAAACCAGCATGAAGGCTTAAAAATCGAGATAGGCGGGGCTGGACTGATGGCCCAGCAGGGAGGGCGTTGGCCCTGGCACGCGGCCGACCCGGGTTCGAGTCCCAGCATCCCCTAGGGTCCCCCGAGCACCGCCAGGAGGAGTCATTCCCGAGTGCAGAGCCAGGAGGGAGCCCTGAGCATCGCTGGGGTGTGATGAAAGAAAGAAAGAAAGAAAGAAAGAAAGAAAGAAAGAAAGAAAGAAAGAAAGAGAGAGAGAGAGAGAGGGAGGGGGGGAGGAAGGAAGGAAGGGAGGAAGGAAGAAAGAAAGAAAGAAAGAAAGAAAGAAAGAAAGAAGAAGGGAGGGAAAGAAGGGAAGGAAGGAAGGAAGGAAGGAAGGAAAGAAAGAAAGAAAGAAAGAAGAAAGAAAGAAGAAGGGAGGGAAAGAAGGGAAGGAAGGAAGGAAGGAAGGAAGGGAGGAAGGAAGGAAGGAAGGAAGGAAGGAAGGGAGGAAGGGAAGGAGGGAGGGAGGGAGGGAGGAAGGAAGGAAGGAAAGAAAGGAAGGAAGGGAAGGAAAGAAAGAAAGAAAGAAAGAAAGAAGGGAGGGAAGGAAGGAAGAAGGAAAGAAAGAAGAAAGAAAGAAAGAAGAAGGGAGGGAAAGAAGGGAAGGAAGGAAGGAAGGATGGAAGGAAGGAAGGAAGGAAGGAAGGAAGGGAGGAAGGAAGGAAGGAAGGGAGGAAGGGAAGGAGGGAGGGAGCGAGAGAGGAAGGAAGGGAGGAAGGAAAGAAAGAAAGAAAGAAAGAAAGAAAGAAGAAGGGAGGGAAAGAAGGAAGGAAGGAAGGAAGGAAGGAAGGGAGGAAGGAAGGAAGGAAGGAAGGAAGGGAGGAAGGGAAGGAGGGAGGGAGGGAGGGAGGAAGGAAGGAAGGAAAGAAAGGAAGGAAGGAAAGAAAGAAAGAAAGAAAGAAGGGAGGGAAGGAAGGAAGGAAGGAAAGAAAGAAAGAAAGAAAGAAAGAAAGAAAGAAAGAAGAAGGGAGGGAAAGAAGGGAAGGAAGGAAGGAAGGAAGGAAGGGAGGAAGGAAGGAAGGAAGGGAGGGAGGGAAGGAGGAGGGAGCGAGAGAGGAAGGAAGGGAGGAAGGAAAGAAAGAAAGAAAGAAAGAAGAAGGGAGGGAAAGAAGGAAAGGAAGGAAGGGAAAAAGGAAAGAAGGAAGGAAGGGAAGAGAGAGGGGCTGGAGTGATATCCCAGCATGGAGGGCATTTTCCTGGCACGCGGCCGACCTGGGTTCGATTCCCAGCATCCCCTAGGGTCCCCCCGAGCACCACCAGGGGTAATTCCTGAGTGCAGAGCCGGGAGTCACCCCTGGGCATCACCGGGTGCGATACCCCATAAAGCAAAAAAAACACAAACAACAAAACAACCACAACAACAAAAGGCCAAAGACCCTTTAGACAGTGTGATTAGTCGGCCAAGCAGCCCAGCCCCGGAGAAGCTGATCCCGCCGGTCCACTCAGTGAAGCCCGCCGAGCTCGGACGAATGCAGTGCTCAGACGTGCAGACCTGGGTCCTGGTTTAGTGGCCCGCCAGGGCTGGAGACACGGCCGCAGAGTGTTACGACGACACCGAAAGCCAGACATGCAGCCCCCGGCGGTGACGGTCCCCAGACCCCCACCCCAACGCTGCCTGCAGCGCGAGCCGAGCGCCTGGGAGCTTCTGTGTCCCGAGAAGCACGCGTGCGTGCATGCGTGCGTGCGTGAGCCTTACCGTTCTCCTTGAAACACCACTTCTTCTTCTGGTAGGCGATGAAGCTGGACACGGCGCCAGCCACGGCCACCACCACGGCCCCGACGATGCCCGAGATCACGCCGGGAGAGTCGGCTGTGGAGGAGAAACGGGAGGTCGTGAGAGTGGCGTGTCAGAGGGCCCGCCAAGCAGTGGCCACCCCGCAGGGCGGGGCATGGAGCGTGGACGTCTCTGCCCTGACAACCGAAAGGTGAGGGTGGACAGAACTCAGCTCAACAGACGGACACAAGGCACAGGCACGAAACTCCATCCCCGCCAAGGTTGGCTACTGACTCAAAGTGGTTGACCCGGGTTCGATTCCTCTGCCCCTCTCGGAGAGCCTCTTGGCAAGCTCCCGAGAGGATCCCGCCCCGCCCGGCAGAGCCTGGCCAGCTCCCCGTGGCGTCTACACGATGCCAAACACAGTCACAGCAAGTCTCACAATTTGTTGTGGACGTTCCTGGTGCCCGCTTCAGCCGATCGATGAACGACGGGAGGACAGTGGCAGTGATCATGATCATTATTATTATTTGGCTTTTTGGGGGTCCCACCCAGCGATGCTCAGGGCTGACTCCTGGCTCTGTACTCAGGAATCACTCCTGGGGGACCCTACGGGATGCTGGGAATCGAACCCGAGTCAGCCGCGTGCCAGGCCAATGCCCTTCGCGCTGGGTTATCACTCTACTCTGTCTCTCTCCTTCCTTCCTTCCTTCCTTCCTTCCTTTTCCTTCCTTCCTTCCTTCCTTCCCCTCTTTGTTTCTTCATCTCTGTGTTCCTCTCTCTTTCTTTCTTCCTTTCTCTCTTTCTTTCTTTCTTTCTTTCTCTTTCTTTTTCTCTTTATTTCTTTTTCTCTTTCTTTGTCTCTTTCTCTTTCTTTCTCCCTTCCTTCCTTCCCTCCCCTCTTTGTTTCTTCATCTCTGTGTTCCTCTCTTTCTCTTTCTTCCTTTCTCTCTCTTTCTCTCTCTCTTTCTTTCTCTCTTTCTTTCTTTCTTTCTCTCTTCTTCCTTCCTTCCTTCCTTCCTTCCTTTCTTTCTTCCTCTTTCTTTCTTTCTTTCTTTCTCTTCCTTCCTTCCTTCCTTCCTTCCTTCCTTCCTTCCTTCCTTCCCTCTCTCTCTCTTTCTTTTCTTTCCTTTCCTTTCCTTCCCTCTCTCTCTCTTCCTTTCCTTTTCTTTCCTTTCCTTTCCTTTCCTTTCCTTTCCTTTCCTTTCCTTTCCTTTCCTTTCCTTTCCTTCATCACACCCAGCGATGCTCAGGGGTTCCTCCTGGCTCTGCACTCAGGAATGACTCCTGGCGGTGCTCGGGGGACCCTAGGGGATACTGGGAATCGAACCCGGGTTAGCCGCGTGCAAGGCAGACGCCCTCCCCGCTGTGCTATTGCTCCAGCCGCTCTCCCTTCCTTCCTTCCTTTTTTCCTTTTTTCCTTCCTTCCTTCCTTCCTTCCTTCCTTCCTTCCTTCCTTCCTTCCTTCTTTCCTTTTCTTTCTTCCTCCCTCTCTCTCTCTCTTTCTTTCTTCCTTTCTTTCTTTCTTTCCTTCTTTCTCTCTCTCTTCCTTTCCTTTCCTTTCCTTTCCTTTCCTTTCCTTTCCTTTCCTTTCCTTTCCTTTCCTTTCCTTTCCTTTCCTTTCCTTCATCACACCCAGCGATGCTCAGGGGTTCCTCCTGGCTCTGCACTCAGGAATCACTCCTGGCGGTGCTCGGGGGACCCTAGGGGATACTGGGAATCGAACCCGGGTTGGCCGCGTGCCAGGCCAACGCCCTCCCTGCTGGGCTCTCGCTCCAGCCCCAAATTTCCAGATGTTTTATCTCTGTAAGTGATCAATCACACGTCTCTCTCTCTCTCTCTCTCTCTCTCTCATCTCTCTCTCTCATAAAATTAATTATGGCAATATGGGTTGAATTACATGATCGCATGTTAATGGAATCACGTGGGTGAGAGACAGACGGGAACACAGTATCAAGACAAACCAACGAAACAAAACAAAACAACCAAAAGGCACCAGAGCAAGAGGACAGCGGGGAGGGCGTTTGCCTGGTCCTCACCCGTCCTGTGAGCACCATCCTCGAACCCCAGACGATTCCCTGAGCACCGCCCGGGCTCATGTCCGAGTGCAGACCCAGGAGTCAGCCCTGAGCATCAGACACTGAAGCCCACTTTCATCCCAGCACCCCGAGATGGTCCTCCCCAAGCCTGAGATCTCCAAGCACAAAGTCGAGGGGAATCAGCCCTGAGCATCCCTTCAGGATGCGGTACCCAACGCCAAGACAAAAAACAAAAACAAAAAAAAAAACCTCAAACACCAGATGCTCTTGCTTCCCTGCGGCTTCGAGAATAAGGAGAGTGGGAAACGGGGTCGCAGACACACAGCCCAGATGAGAGGAGGAGGACGGAACGGAAGGGAAGAAATGAAGTAGGTGCCGGGCCCCCCCGAAAAGGCACAGCACAAACACCATCGGCACTTGTATGTTCATGGCAGCACTGGTCACCAGAGCCAGAATCGGGAAACAACCCGAGTGCCGAGAACAGACGACTGGTTAAAGACACTCTGGTACATCTACTCAAGGAATACTACGCAGCTGTCAGGAGAGATGAAGTCATGAAATTTGCCTGTACAACCAATCTTAGAGGAAATATACATGTTTAAAAGATGTATAGCACAAAAGGCTCAACTTTTAACAACATGTTAGTGATCTCTCATAGAAGGGCATAGGGCTGGAACGACAGCCCAGCGGGAAGGGCGTTTGCTTGGCACGTGGCCGACCCGGGTTCGATTCCCAGCATCCCCTAGGGTCCCCTGAGCACCGCCAGGAGTGATTCCTGAGCTCAGAGCCAGGAGTGAGCCCTGAGCATCGCCGGGTGTGACCCAAAAAGCAAAAATAGATAAATAAATAAATAAATAATAATAATAATAAGGGCTTAATGGCCCCTGGGGGAAATACAACAATCTTCACACTCTTTCCTCTAAGACTATTTTTTTGGTAGCATTTTTCAGCATTTTTTTTTCACAACACACAATAAAAAATATATATTTTTGGTTCTGCTTTGGGGCAGGGGTCGGGGTTTGGGATGGAGACACCCGAAATAAATATGGTGTTGGGAAGGGGTCAGGGTGGTGGGGTGGCTGTTTGAATACTAAATATCATCAAATATTCTGAACTACTTTATAAAACAAATTTTTTAAAATTGGGGGGCTGGAGTGATGATAGCACAGCAGGGAGGGCATTTGCCTTGCATGCGGCCGACCCGGGTTCGAGTCACAGCATCCCCTAGGTCCCCCCGAGCACCGCCAGGAGTGATTCCTGAGTGCATGAGCCAGGAGGAACCCCCTGAGCGTCACTGGGTGGGACCCAAAAGAAAGAAAAGAAAGAAAGAAAGAGAGAAATAGAGAGAGAAAGAAAGAAAGAAAGAAAGAAAAAGAGAAAAAGAGAGGAAGGAAGGAAGGAAGGAAGGAAGGAAGGAAGGAAGGAAGAGGGGCTGGACTGATAGCACAGCGGGGAGGGCGTTGGCCTGGCACGCGGCCGACCCGGGGTTTGATTCCCAGCATCCCCTAGGGTCCCCCAGGCACCGCCAGGAGTGATTCCTGAGTGCATGAGCCAGGAGGGACCCCTGAGTGTCACTGGGTGGGACCCAAAAGAAAGAGAAGAAGAAAGAGAGAAATAGAGAGAGAAAGAAAGAAAGAAAGAAAGAAAGAAAGAAAGAAAGAAAAAGAGAAAAAGAGAGGAAGGGAGGAAGGAAGGAAGGAAGGAAGGAAGGGTAGGAGGGAGGGAGGGAGGAAGGAAGGAAGGAAGGGGAGGGAGGGAGGAAGGAAGGAAGGAAGGAAGGAAGGAGAGAGAAGGAAGGAAGGGTAGAAGGGAGGGAGGGAGGGAGGGAGGGAGGGAGGGAGAGAGGGAGGGAGGAAGGAAGTAAAAAGGAGGAAAAAAGGAAGGAAGGAAGGAAGGGAGGGAGGGAGGGAGGGAGTAAAAAGGAGGAAAAAAGGAAGGAAGGAAGGAAGGAAGGAAGGAAGGAAGGAAGGAAGGAAGAGGGGCTGGACTGATAGCACAGCGGGGAGGGCATTGGCCTGGCACACGGCCAGCCTGGGTTCGATTCCCAGCATCCCCTAGGGTCCCCTGAGCGCCGCCAGGAGGGATTTCTGAGTGCATGAGGTAGGAGGAATCCCTGAGTGTCACTGGGTGGGACCCAAAAGAAAGAAAAGAAAGAAAGAAAGAAAGAAAGAAAGAAAGAGAAATAGAAAGAAAAGAAAGAAAGGGAAATAGAGAGAAAGAAAAGGAAAAAGAAAGTAAGAAAGAAAGAAAGAAAGAAAGAAAGAAAGAAAGAAAAAGTGTGAAAGAAGGGAGGAAGGGAGGAAGGATGGAAGGAAGGGAGGGAGGAAGGAAGGAAAAAAGGAAGGAAAAAAGGAAGGAAGGAAGGGAGAGCAGCTGAAGCAATAGCCCAGCGGGGAGGGCATTTGCCTGGCACGTGGCCGACCCGGGTTCGATTCCCAGCATCCCCTGGGGACCCCCGAGCTACCGCCAGGAGGGATTCCTGAGTGCAGAGCCAGGAGGAACCCCTGAGCATCGCCGGGTGGGACCCCAAAAGGCAAAAAAAAAAAGGTGGGACTTGTAGGCTGGTGTCCAGCAGGGAGGACTTTAACCAAGGGCGCCCTAGAGTCCAGCCTGGAGCACGTTGGCATCGCACAAGCTCTGGGAAGAGGCAGGGCATGTGGGGACCACGTAGCACCGAGTCCAGGAAGGTGGAAAGGTGGAACGCTGAGTCCTGTTCTGCATCCACCTAGACGCCAGCAGCAGCACCAGAGCCCCGCGGTACTTACCCTGGGCCTCCCCTTCCCCGTCTTTCCGGTGTTCCCGGGATGACCGTCACCGCCGCCTGCAAGAGAGAAACCGGTTGAAGGAGCACGGAGTGAGCAAACTTCCACGTTTGCAAGCAGGTACACATGAATCCCGTTCCGGGGGTCCTGGGTGTGTCAGAGACTCTCAGCCCGGGTACAGATTCAGGCTCAAAACTGTTGCAGAATCATTTTAATATTTTTTGGGAGGGAGGGTCCCACCCGGCGATGCTCAGGGCTTCCTCCTGGCTCTGTGCTCAGGAATCACTCCTGGCAGT